CCCCCCCAGCAAATTTTGGGCATTGTAGTTCTGCATAGGGATGTATACTACCAAGATTTAATTTCACAGTTGTGAATCTGGTGAGACATTTGCCTTCCACTGTCCTTCACTTCTGGGAAGCCATCCTGTGGTGGACATTCAGATTTCTTGATACTTTTTTACTTCGGTTTGGTTTTACTTTGATTTTTTACTATTTTACTTTGTTTTTTCAGCCCTTTTTATGGCCTTGGCTGTATTTTCCTCTTCTGTTCTTGTTTCTGCCCTTTCTATTCCTGTTCTTCTACAGTTCTTTTGGGATAGCTGTCTTACCCATCTTACCTCCTCACTTTATTCTGCCCCCACTTTACTCTGCTGTGAAGCTTTATCCTTCAGTTACTCTGAGGTAGCTACTGAAAACTTAAAAGCACAACTTTCTCTTGGCAGAGTCTAGTATTTTGGCATTGCGCTTATAACTGCCATCTGCATAAGACATTAGGAACTAAGGGCTCTGACAAATGTGGGGGGGGGAAACTAAACGAAACAGTGCTTTACTGGAAGAGGCATCACATCAGTTTGACCCCAGTGCCTGTACAGTTCATGCACTTCAGTGGGGCTTTTGGTGCTTTTATCCAATAGCTGATTCAATCGGCTATTAGATAAAAGTGCCAAAAAGCCCCTTTGAAGCATGTGAGCTATACAGATGTTGGGCAAGTCAGGTCAGATTAATGCAGTGCCTCTTCTGGGCATGCACTGTGCTTGGTGCAGGGCTGTGCCAAGCTGAAAGTAAAGCACTCCGGTGTGTGTGTGTGTCCACATGTCTGTAAGCAGCCTAGGTTATTTCATGAATTCAGTGCGTTCCAGACAGGCCAGCCTTTTCTTTCATGGCATTTTCCACTTAATATTCTTTCTCCTAAACTCTTACGGCTTCCCCCGCACCTCTGTCTGTTTTTTGCTCTTTTGTGTTGATCTCCCTACTTATAGTACCTGCCAGCCACAATGACAGGAATACTGGAAAAGTGAAACTCTTAAGGCTGACCAGTTTTACAATGCACTGTAGAGGAATAATAATATAGCAGCGTAGATAAAAGTGATCCTCTGTGGTAGCTTCCATCATAACTAGGGCTCTTCCCAACTCAAGGCAGCTGGCCCAATTTGTGGGCAGGACATGGGGCCAGCTGCCATTTCCAGGGCTGC